GGCCGTGGGTGCGCGCAGCGGTGGGGGGGTGGGTGAAGAGGGTGCTACAAAGGGTTGTTTCATGCTAGCGGCCTTAATTTGTAGAGGAATAATTAGTGACTTCTTCCAGGAGGATTGCCAGCCCTGTACAAAGGGATGTGTGTGCGGGAGCTGGGAAGGAGGGATTCTGTCGTAAAAATAGCTGGACGAGGCTGTTGGCTGAACCGTCTTCAGCTCGGTCTGTACCTGCTGGTGAACTGCCCCTGCGACGCAGCGCCGGTCACACCCTGCCTAAAGCGCGCTGAGCGCTCTGCGAGGGGGTGTTAGCGGGGCTCCGCAGCAGGATGAGAAATGTAAATATGATCAAGGGGGGTTTGGACAGTGAACGGAGCCCTGGCTCGATACCATTACCTCGGCATGCTCCAACAAGCGAAGCGCACGGTAGGTACATCATCTGCAACAGTATGTAAAAAGCCGGTGCTACACCCTACATGGGCACAAATGGTTGCTATTTTTAATGTTTGTTAATGACTGAGTGAATATAAGAGACGTTTGCAAGGCAAAATCAAACATACTGTGAATCCAGACTTCGCACTTCCTTCTGGTTACCGCAGGACAGTCGGGGACTCTTAAGAAACCGGAATGGGTGCTGATCCAGGCTGTGCCGTACGCTTTCCCTGAGAGGTTCATTGATAATTTTAAGATCCTATACCGAGCCTGGGTTTTTTGCTGCTGAGAAATGAGGATTCACATTCATTTGCCTCCTGTTCCATAGCGAGGTACGGGCTCCTGCACCAGTGTGATGGACAGGAGTGCTGGGTCCAGGCAGCATTTCCACAGGCTCCAAACTGACTGAGCCCTAGTCGGTGATTATTGATGCTCAAAACTTCCTGGAACTAGGAACCTGGAAATATAGGGGAGGACGCATGATTGGTTTATCATTTTATGTAAATAGACATGATTTATTGCTTCAGTGAGCATTCCTTAAGTGAATCCCATTTAGGTATATTGGGACAAAAAAAAAATCAGGTAATTTAAGAGGTCGTGGCTTTTTATTTGTTCTTAGTTGGAAGGTCTACAGTCTGATCTGTCCTGAAAGGTGTGTTCAGTTCTATTTCTGGCATTCCCATTCCCTAACTCGGTTCATGCTCATCCTTTCCTTCCCAGACCTTACGTGTGTCAATGAAATAACCAGATAACTGGTTTGAATCCCACGCAGATCAGCAGTGGCAGAAAGCTCTTCTCTTGCTGTTTGTTACTAGCCTGGCTTCCTAAGGAAATTAGGTTTATGCAGTTGTGTGTCTGTCTCCCTCTTCAGTAACCTCTGGATCTCTGGGCTGTTTTAGGCACGTTTGGCTCTCTGTGGCAGGTGTCTGCGGTGTCTGTCCAAAACCGCCCGTGGGTGAAGATGCTGTCAGACCGGGGCTGCGGGAGGTTGTGATAATGATTTCCCCGTTGCCCTCTTACCAAGCGTCGATGCTTTGTTAGCGCTCGGCAGCTGCCTCTTGAAACGTGAACCGTTACTTTGCTATTTCTTTCTTTTTCGATCGTGAGTTGATCATTAATTTCACGTTGTAAATCCATTTCGTTTACAAAGTATTTTGCTCAAGACTTTCTTTACTTGCCTATCTGGGCTCCTGCGTCTGTAGCGATTTTGTTGGTGGGGGTTTCTCTCCCAAGCGTTTCGGATGTGTTACCTGGCCTCAGACAGCTTCAAAAAAAGGGATTCAACATCTGCAGCGGTGGCAAAAATTTCTAGAATTATTTTTAAGTATTGCAAATGGGAAAGCTTAGGGATAGATGTAATTTCTCCAGTTTTGTATCCAAATTGTTATCTTGCTAATGGAAGTTAAAAGGGAATGTTCAGCAATGATGGCACGAGAATGAGGAAAGAAAATTGGTTTACTTTTTTTTTTTTTTTTCCCCAGTCACTTTTTTTGTCAGGGGAAAGGGGAGAAATTTGGTTCTAAGAGTCATCAAATCAAATTTTTTTCTCCAGTAAAGCCAGACTTTCGTGACATGGTGGAAACTTGCCAGTTTCTGGTGTCTTGCTGTAGGATAAAAGAGCTTTCAGACACAAGCCCTGATTCTGTAATTGAATCTCCTTGGGAATTGCTCCAGGGAATTGTTGCAGAGATCAGTGGGGCTTTGCATGGAAACGGAGATCTGGGCAGATCTGATTGCCACGTCTTCACCTAGACCCTGACCCTCTGCTGATTTGCATGTGCAATCAGGCAGTGCTTCCAGATTCCTGCCTGTTGATTTAGGAGCATTTGTAAGTTATGAGAGCTGAGTGAGCTCCGTGGGCTGGGAGACTTGTTTAATGCTGACTCCTCATCGCTGCTTAATTGAAATGGGTTTTATGTTGATGTTCCGCTGGTGATACAGACCATCAGCTGGACTATACAGCAGTCTGGTGCAATTTCCAAGCGAGGGCTGCCAGCCTGCCTTTGAAGAACACTTACTGAGAACTAAGTTTCCCAAGTTGTTCCATGGCACAGGAACAGACAACTTCAATGCTTGCAGAAAAATGCTATCTTGACACCTCTGAAGGTCACTGCGTGACCCTAGGGAAGGTAAGATTCGTGTGTCTTAGGGTGGAGGAAATACTGGAAGCTTAACCTCTCTATCTGAGAATGAAACTTAGGCCTGGAAGTGGACTCAGCCCTTAATGCTGCTGGGATGGCAGCTGCTGCTGCTGGTGCTTTGTCCTGATGGGTTGTGTGATAAGGGGAGCTGCCTGCTGAAGTGCTCTGATTTAACACAGGCCACGGAACGGTCACCAGGGAGCAATTTTTTAAGTTAACCAACCATAGTTAGATTCGAACCAGTGAACTTCCCCATAAGAGAAGGTACAAGAATGTCTTATCTGTAAATTAAAAAAAAAAAAAAGACTGGAAGGATTATTTAGAGTCTAGAGACCCAGGAATTGCCCTGGAAATAACTACTTTTCCTTTTAGAGATTAAAGACGCCTCTGCACTGTATCATATTAAATTCCTTTTACCTTTGTGCACCATTTTTGGCTACTTTAGCCTAGGAAAATGTTGCTCCTCCAGTAATCTCGTTTTTTCGTACTTGCACTCACTTAAAAATTATTCTAACTTTAGAGGGAACCTCCTTTGCCACTTGTTTATCATTAATGACTTCTCTGATTCGTGTGGCATCCCACATGCAGGTATGGAAGGTGGGTTTACCCCTGAGAGCAGGTGAGGAGGGAAAAGGGACAAGGCTGTAGTCCCCTTAATCGCACTGCTCAGTCCACCACTAAGGTTGTGTGCTCCGAGCCAGATGAGGGGAGCAGTAGGTGAGACCCACCTGTATCCCCACCAAACTGGGGCTCCTGGGGGCGCACAGGTCAGTTCACGAAGCCAAAGGTTCTTGGGGCAGCACAGGGATCCACCTCGGAATTTCCTGCTGCGGTCTCGCACTCTTTTGAGTAGACTTTGCACCAACACGTTACCACCGAGGAGCAGCTCTCCATGCTGAAGTCAAGATCTGCGCCCTTAACAACTTATTTTAGTGTGTGATTGAAAATCGTAGAAAGCGACACAGAAATGTAGCTTTCCTAGTTCTCCTGCCCTCTTCCTTCCCTCTTGCCCAGTTGTTCTGGTCTAAAAGGATTAACCCCAAATGTGTGGGTGTGCTGAGCTGGCCCCTCTGCTGGGGATGGTCTTTCGCACGGTCACCATATTGCCCTTTTTGTTCTGAAGGAAAAGCGGGCTATTGGGTGGTACGTGTGTCTGCCCACTCATCCCTGGTAAGCTCCTGAGCCATAAGCACATTTCAGTCAAATGTGACAGAGGAGCAGAAGCCTCAAGCTTGTTCCCTTGATTTTCACCAGAGTTAGGAGAGAGAGACCTGCTGGGGAGGGGTGAGGCGTGAGCCACCTCTCTCAGCCACCAGCCAGTCGAGCTGTAGGGCAGTGCTGCGTTCGTGGTGCCGCTCGTGGAGCGGCTTGTAGAAACAAAGCCAGGTCAGGATCAGCTCTGCCTCCTCACTCCAGACAAGCCACCGGAGAGTAACTCCTCGTTCTTGTATGCCTGAGCTGGACTTTTCCTGGATCCCTAAAGGTGAGAAACTCTATAATCCACTCTTGGTGTAAAGCATCACCTCACTCTCTAAAGCGCTGGCCCCTTGATGGCTCTTACTCACGGGGTAACTGGACAACTGTTGTGCACAGGGCTCGGATAAAAGCACGGGCATTGCTAATGGTCCTCGTGTCTCTTGCAGGCTAAGGTAGCCAGCGTCTATGAATCGCCTGGCTTCTTTCTAGGGTTGGATCCAATTCCAGGAGCTCTTGAAGCCATGCAGGAGATGATCCACATGCAGGAGTAAGGACACTTTGCACTCTGCAGCCCTTTTCGATTATCCTATGCACTTTCCCCTGACTGCTAACGAAGGCTGTTCCTTTTCAGCACCGAAGTTTTTATTTGCACAAGTCCTCTCCGGAAATACGAGCACTGCATCGTGGAAAAGGTGGGAGAGAATTTATTTTACGGGTTTTAATGCCGCTTTTGCACAGCCGTGCTGTTTCATACCACCCAAGTTGGAGTCATTCATTTATAAAGACAGTAGCTGGCGCAGGCTGCCAGGCTTCCCTGCGATCCCCGTGTCTGAGGGGCAGCTGCCCAGGCACAGAGTAATAGCGCAGGACGAGGAATCTTGGAGTGATCCGAGCCTTATTGCAGGGCATGTGAGCCCTGTGCTCTTGGAGCTGGCACGTGACGCTGCAGGTGACAGCAAAGGAGCTGGCATAGCGTGGCCCACAGCGATGGGATATTCCCGGGGGATTCCACACCGGAGAATCCTCAACTGACAAAACCTTACTCTGTCTAAATCCAGAGTCTGAGGTACGCAGCTATGCTGAAAGAGGCCAGTGCTGAGTTAAGAGGAGGCCACAGCATTGGAATTAGTCCAGTCTGCCCCTGGCACAAGGACGGAGCGGGGGACCTTAATCACTGGAATGACTTAGATGGACACAATCCACGTGCTCTGGGCAAGCCGCCAGCGCCGCTCGCAGACCCGGCAGCAATGAGGCATGGCAAGCGCTGCGCTGACTGAGGGCCCTTACAAGTGCAGGTTAAATCAGTGTCCTGGGCCGTGGCCAGTCTCTGCGGTGGGGATTTGCAGACGCAGATGTAGGTTTACGTGGGAAAAGATTGCTGTGCTAGGGCTGATCCGACTTGAGCAATGGGCAAACGGAAAGTCACGGCAGAATTTTCTCCTCTCTTATTTCTTGCCTCCGCAGTATAAATGGGTAGAAAAACATCTGGGACCCGAGTTTGTGGAGCGGATTATTCTAACCCGAGATAAAACCGTCGTATCTGCTGACTTGCTGTTCGATGACAAGGATACCATCAGAGGTTGGAGAAGCATTTGCATCGCTTGCTGTTAGCTGGGGAGGAAACCCACCCTCCCAGCTGACTGCAGCTTTCCTCCCTTGCCCTCCTCAGGCGCGGAGCTGAACCCGAGCTGGGAGCACGTCCTGTTCACCTGCTGCCACAACAGGCACGTCCAGCTGCAGGCACCGCGCCGGCGGCTGCTGTCCTGGGCGGATGATTGGAAAGCCATCTTGGAGAGCAAGCGTGGGCAGTGAGGGAGGAAGGGGGTGCTGTGCTGTTCCCACTGCCGGGGGGAACGACCAGCTCATCCGCTGGCAGGGAAACCCGTTCCCAGGAGGCAGCGAGCACCGTCCGCCCGGGGGTCAGTTACAGTAAGAAATGAGCTGCCCTCGTTAGACGTGCTGCGGAGCTGACTCCTCTCCGGGTTTCTGGAAGATTGCTCTGCATTCCATTAATCCCTGTAGAGTTTTGGATGTTTGCTGTTGGTGAAGAGACACTATAAAATACAAGCAGTTGTGCGTGGTTCGTTGGTTGTTTTTTTTTCTTGCACGTGTGTGCTTTTAACCTCGCTCTTGTTTCTTCTGGGCTGACTGGGGGTGGAGGGGGGAAAAGAGGAAGAAATAAAGCTCTGAAACTTGAGCAGACAGCGTGGGTGTCTGTCAGGGAGCACTGTGCTCAACAGCCAAACCCTTTTAAATTTTATGTATTTAGCCACCCTGGCTTTTGGGTTGCCTTTTGCATCATTGGCTGATAATGAAAGGAGCCCAAGCTGGCTTCAATCTCTGGCCTGTGTGCATGAGTAAAAGTGGGCAAAGGCTGGGCTGCAAGTGCTGTAGAGAAATATTTATGAGCTTATACAAAACTGTTTACACAGCATTTGAGTTAATGTTTTATTAAGAGAAGGGTTTACAAGACAGCTGTTCTCGTGAGCCAGGCTGCCATGAGCCTTTTTTTTTTTTTTTTTTAAATCTTCACCTTTCTCACTGGTGGTAATGAAAGAAAAACAACTTTCCACTTCCTGATTTACAGGATAGCCACAACCTGCCCTGTGTAGTGATTCACTAGCCTGTGCCATGATGATACGATGGTAAGATCGCAAACTGCCAGGGCAGGAACTGCAGGAGGAATAAAGCTTACGTGATGTTTCAAAGTCATTTGAGTTGACACTGAGGAGGAGAGCTGCAGCAAAACCTGCCAGGAACTGGAGGGGATATAAGCTGCCTGATAACCCAAGCAGAAAACTCCCTAATTGCTGGGAAAAGGGTTATTTGTGCAAGCTGGGGGCTGGGCTGCACTTGGCAACCTGCTCTCTAAGAGCCATGACCTGTTCTGTTTTAAATATTTGCTCGCAGTTTTAGCTGCGTGCTTGGCCTGACTGACATGGTAGTGCCCTACCGTCCTCTTTATTAACTAAAATCCGGTGCTGGTATGACCAATTTCCCTCTTTAATGTTTTTCTTGACATGCTCTTGACCTGCTGAGCAGAAAGCGGAGGCCTGGGAAAACAGAGGGAGGTCTCTCTTTCAACAGCTCCGCGCTGTTCTGACAGCTTCAGTCCTTGGGGAGAGGAATCCCCACCGCTGTGTGTTTGCTTAGATTCCTGGCCTCTTCCACTTGCAGCGGCGTGCAGTAATCCTCCAGGAAGACAGTTGCCAGATTGCTCAGCCTTCTGCTGGCCGAGAGAGAGAAGCGAAGCATGCACTCCACCACGGGGAGAGCCGTGGTCTGCTGACGCGACTGCGGCGTGGTCAGGTACATCAGCGTCGTGACTGCCGACATGACCGTCTCCTCGTTGGAGCTGGAGAGGCAGTTGATTATGGGCTCTACCCCATTCGCCTCCAAGATGTAGTCTTTGTTAGTTTTATCCAGGCACAGGTTACAAAGACCGCCTGAAACAGCAAAAGAAAATGTCCAACACATGCAAGACGAACTATTCTTTCCACACCCTCAACTTTTTCATGCTAAGATTCAAATTCACCGCTGATCCCTTTTTTCTAATACAGAAATAAGCATCCAGATTTTCTGTGAGATTTGGATGGAAAATTCTTAACGGCTTCCTGGGCAATCTCTTCTTGATTCTTTCCCCAGATTTTCCACCAGCACATTCCTCCCCCGGTACGTCATTAGAGGGCACTGTTACTGCTGGACGTAACCTCTTCCACGGAGCGAAGATTTCCAGTATCACTTAACCCTAAAGAGGGCTACAAGCCAGCAGTTCACTGCAGATGTTTTAGAGAGCAGAGGTAACAGTCCTAGCCAAGAGGTACAGAAGCTTTGTACTTGAAGCTTTTCAGATGCAGCCATCCCCTGGCATAGCTCAGCCACAAATCTTAAATATCAAATATATTTACTGTCATCTCATGGCATCACTCACAATGAGGATCTGGACCCTTAGTTTATGGTCAGACCACAAGAAATCACCTTAAGGCAGTTCCTCAGAGGACTTAGTAAAAAATTTCAAGTAAATATTCTAGAAGACTGGTTGTCAATAGCAGAATGATAACACTGGACCTGTACGTTATAAATAGAAAAAATGTATGTATTTATGACTGCTTCTCTATAGAAAAGATTTTGATAAACTCATTCAACTACTGTTTACTTACAGTCTTAAAAAAGAAACTAAAATAATTTCTAGAAAGAATAATTTTTAAGCACAGCAGCTATATTAGGGTGAAGAGGAGGTGCCTACGTCCTACCCCTCATCCCATTCCCCTCATTCTCCACTGCAGGAGCCCTTACCAGCGCAGCGTGGCTCTGTTTTTCCAGCACAATTCCCACCTGCCTCCCAGGGGGGAAATAACCCCCAAACCGAAGCGTCAGGCCTGGCGTCCCCTGGCCTGTCAGCCCCTTACCAGGGCATTCAGGCGCAGTCCTTACCCATCGCAAACTCCACAAGGGTCTCGTTGTCTTCGGTGAGCATGTCGAGGAACAGATCCAGGACCTGGAGCTGCCGGAGGTACTCATAGTTTTTGGGATCGTAGGCGAAGTTGGCCAGGTTGGCCAGCACCTGCTCCTTGGCCTCTGCAACGGAGAAGCATCAGGTGTGGGGGGAAACGCACTCAACGAGAAGAGCATCAGCAAGCAGCGGTGCCCGGGGGTTACCTGGGCTGTCTGTCACCTGGAACTCGGTGACGAGGGCCTGCAGGTACTCCAGCCGCCCCAGCTCCATCCCGGGCACGGCCGCGATGCGATGCTCCAAGC